TTCAGAAAAAAATAAACCCAAAACTAAAACCAACAAAACAAAAAAACCCAGGAAACTTGATAATCTGCATCAAACACATAAAAATTTGGTCCCATCATGGAACAATAGCAAGAATTTCATTTCAAGGTAGAGTACACAGCCATTGAGAGCATTTTATGATCCTGATATTTGCTGAGCAAGCTGACTAACCATTATTAAAATTCCATTATTGTGATCCACACATATTTATATAAAACAAACCAGTATTATTTAAAAACAAAACCACATATATTATTATTTCAGATATTTGAAATAATTTAGATAACTTAATCTGGTAATCAGGATTTATTCCAGATAATATGGTCATAAAATGCCACACCTCCCCTACATAACATCTACAATTTCCATGGTAGCATGTAAATGTCAGAAATTACCAACAGATGCTGTTACTAATGTTTCTTTCTGATATTGAGCTGTAAACATCAGACACTGCAGTCACAACACACTCCCAGCATTTGTACTGAAATGTTCTTCTCTACAAAATGATACTTCAGTTTCTGTCCCATCATTCCCTAATCTAATTCCACCTTTGGAAACTGGTGATGAAAAAAGAGATATCTGCATACTCAGAACTATGTATCAAATTTCTTGGTGGAAGGTTTATTGCAGCTGCTGTTTACCAATGGGATTATTTCCAAAGAAACAGGAGCTTTATTCCTATGAGAAAATGCTCATAAGTAATCTAGACCTATATGAACTTTCATATGAACTGGTTTCTTACAGAAGAGCTAACTCTTCAAGATTCTGACTGAAACAAGTAGGATATGTAAATATCTGATTAGATAACAAAGTAAAATTAAGAAACAAGACTTTATACAACATAAAATCAAAATAAGAAAGCTGCCTCAAATTTCCTCTTTCAAAAAATTTGCATGTGGTTTTTTTTTCCAAATACTTAGTTCATTTTTTGGAGCCTTACACATGCTGTTTTAAAGCTATCTGATACTAGCAGAGGCAATAGCTAAATTTTTCTTCCTCCATACTCTGGTCCGTTCCTGATTCATCCCTCATTTATAGAACTACCTGTAACTCTATCAAGACCACATCTACCAAGTGAAAAAAAATAGATAATGTCTAAATTTCTGCCAAAACAATGTGGAATCATGGTCCTGCTAGAAACTGCTTGGTGCTCCTGGCAGCAATCATGTTCCTCTCTTTAACTTTCCAACAGCATCCTGCTCCTTCTGCCTTGTAGCTCCTGGAGATCATTCATGGCCATGTCCAAAAAAATCATCTTCAGAGTTTTAAGTAGTAAGCTCTAAGTAATTGCAAGTAGTCATAACTACTTACAACTTTTGAATTTGAAACTTCAAAACTTTTGAGTTTGCTTTCTTGTGGCTTTTGCAGTGCATGTGGTGTTACCCAGAATGTGTCCTGTACCAGCCTGCTGTTCTGCCAACACAAAGCTCAAACCTACTTTTAAGATAACCTGAAAACTCATACAAACAGTGAGAAGCATGGAAGCTGGAGCATAAACAAGACTGACATAAGTGTCTTTAAGTAGGAATAGCTTTCATATACAACCAGTCACACACCTAGTTGTTTACATTTAATTAGTTCTCAACACAGTGGACTAGATGGAGACACAGGATTTAGGGACATAGGCTGTTTTGTATATCACTAACTGAACTTCACCTAAAGCCAGCAAAAGCTTCCTGCTGAAAACAAACTTCCTCTTTGAAACCAGAACACTGTGCTGGCTGAAATACTTCAACAGTGATAACCACCTCACAACACCTGCATCTGCAATTTCCAATAAATACTCTTGCAAGTTAAAAAACTCAGGAAAAGGTCATATTGATGAGCTGACAGAATGTAGAAGAATATTAACCCCTCACACCATGAGGCATTGTTGCTCCTCATATTATTTTCATTTGATGCATAAGCAAGGATCTTTTGTTCCCAAGGTAATAATAATAGAGCACTACTGGTGGATGGTAAATCCACTTGACTGACCTTCCTTCCTTTCCCTTCTCTCTTCCCAGAGCATGCATTTAACTCTATTAAAAAGGAAAGCTTACCACTCTCCATTCACAACTAAGCCAAAGGTCAGGAAAATGTAAAAATAAAATAAAATAAAATAAAATAAAATAAAATAAAATAAAATAAAATAAAATAAAATCTTTCTTTCATCAAGAAATTTAAATGTCATATAAAAAGGCCTAGAACAAAATACAGTAATTGCCAGCTGCCTAATTATTTTCTCATCCTCTTCCAGGCTTCAACACAATGCCTTTGTTAGGCTGCCTGCCAGTGATATTTGGGACATTAAAATGCACCAAATTTCTGCAAAGACTTTGTGTTCCAAAATGTGCTCTGATGGGCAAAACTGAAGCAAATATAAGAGCAATCTGATATTATTCACCTTAAATGATGAGGGAGGGGAGAATACTGTGTGCTGTCAACTCCCCCTCAGGTTTGTATGAATATTCCTAGAAGAGTTAAGTAACAGGAGAGGTTAGAGGTGGCCAAGGACAAATTTTGGTTCCCAATTAACACTACAGAGCCATGAAAGCCTTGTCTAGCAGGCGCCATCACATACAAACTATCCTCCCACTGCACAGGGCCCTTGCTCTCTACAGAGTTCAGTGTCTCCTGGCTTGCTCTACAGTGTAAGCAGAGGGATCATTAGTTATGACTAGTAGAGTCTAGGAGATAATGTTGACTCTCATTTCAGGAACTATTAAGCTATAAACACTGCGCTGAAAGCCATTTATCTGCATTTTAAGATAAACAGAGAAGCTATTCAATTAAGTAGACTGCAAAAAATAAGCTACAGATGCCAAATCGAACAACTTTTAAACTCCAAAAGAGAAAATCCTTGCATTAATAAGCACAACTTTATACCAAGAAATTACTCACATGGAAGTTCATAAGCAGCACAGCTTAACCACCCCACCATGTCTGATTAAAAAAATACAAATCAAAGTGTAATTACAAAACAGTTAAATTCAAGCAATGTAAATTACATGCACTTAAAATCTGCAAGTTCCTACCACAGCCACTAGTGACGGTGTACAAGGTAAAGAAAGTGGCAATTTTAATACAGCAGTATTTACATTTTATCTCCACATTGCTAGAGTTTGAAAATGAGATACTATTCCAGACTCTACAAGCGAGATAAATGCCTAAACTGTCATGTTCGAATCTGTACTTGCTAAGGAGAACATTCTTCCTGAGATAAGCAAAAGAGTATAAAATTAATTTCTCAAATCTTGCCAACCAACCAGATTTTTTAACCGAGTATTATTCATCTTTTCACCTTTTTGAACATATCAGTATGAGATCTTTAAGATAGTAGGTTAAAAAAAAAATTAAAATAAAAAAAACCAATCTCAAACCACTAAAAAGCATACCCACTAAATAGTTTGTAGTATCCTTTAAAAAGATTAACATACACGGCATTCTAAGCTTAAAAAAAAAAAAAAAAAAAAAAAAAAAAAAATTAAAAACCTGATCTTTCCCTGCACTTCCAGATGCCAGAGATTTTCAAGCCAGCTCTGAGGTCAGACAGGGGAACACACAGGTGCACCATGCATCGGCAGCTGAAAGCTTGCAAGATTGTGCCGGAATCTGATCTGCCCCCTCTCCCCGCATTCCTGCCGGCATTATAAACGCTCCCTGAAGGAATTATACCCTAATACGGACTAATTTTCCACAAACAGCCCCAGCCTCATTAAACCTCTTCTTTATCACCATTGTTCAAAGCAGTTTTTCTGGTAAGATATTGAACTCTCCTACGCCCATCTAAAGAGAAAAGAAACGCCTTTTATTTTCTCTCCAGTATCGTTTCTCCTACTCAGGTCCACTGGCACTACAAAATAGACTCAATAAAAATATTCAGTTTCATCATATGGTAGTAATGTCCTAAAGACTATGACATGGATTAAGAGAGAGAGAGTGCCTGTTCCAATAAAAAAAGAGATCACTCTCCCAACAGGATTTGATAGATTTCTATGAGTGACTCCTCCCACCAATCAGGCAAGCTCAAGTGAATTAAAATGACAGTATCTCTAAAGCAGGTGTTTTTCAGAACCTGCAATTCTTCACACTCCCTAAATGGCCTTTTACCCTTCCCTAGAAAAATCCTTTTGCCTTCAGTGACATCACACAGACTCTCTTAATATGAACAGCCTTTGCCACTACAGTAATTAAAAAACTTGAACATGCCATGACCTAGCTTCATTGTGGAGCCAAAAAAAGAGCCAGTCTGCATTCAA